CCTCCTGAGTAGCAGGGACTACAGGCACATGCCACCACGGACCCAGGCTATTTTTTTTTTTTTTTTTGTAGACAGGACCCTCACTATGTTGCCCAGGCTGGTCTCAAACTCCTGGGCTCAATGATCCTCCCACCTTGGCCTCTCAAAGTGCTAGGATTACAGGTGTGAGCCACCACACCCAGCCCCTTCTTATTTTATTTTATTTTATTTTTTTAGATGAAGTTTCGCTCTTGTTGCCCAGGAGTGCAATGGTGCCATCTCAGATCACTGCAATCTCTGCCTCCTGGGTACAAGCAATTCTCCTGCCTCAGCCTCCTGAGTAGCTGGGATCACAGGCACCCGCCACCACGCCTGGCTAATTTTTGTGTATTTAGTAGAGATGGGGTTTCACCATGTTGACCAGGCTGGTCTTGAACTTCTGACCTCAGGTGATCCACCTGCCTCAGCCTCCCAAAGTGCTAGGATTATAGGTGTGAGCCACCATGCCCTGCTCCACCCCTTCCTATTTTCATCAGCAAGCTCTGGCCATGAATATTTGACTTAGCAGGACGTAGTAAGGCCTCAGCATTTATATTTTTAACATGTGCCCTAGAGAGCTTGAGGGCCATTATAAAGGACCTTCTTATCCCCAAAGAGAGGCAGCACAGAAACACCAAGGGTCTGGCAATATCACCCATCACCTCCTGCAAGGATCTGAAGATTAAGCCTTCTGAATTTGTTTCCTATTGCTGCTGTGACAGATCACCACAAATTTTGTAGCTTTAACAACATAAATGTATTATCTTACAGGTCTGCAGTTCAGAATTCTGAAAGAAGTCTCATGGGGCTAAAATCAAGGGGTCAGCAGGGCTGTGTTCCTCCTGGATGCACCAGGGGAGGATAACCCATTTCCTTATCCATCCCAGCTTCTAGAGGCTGCCTGCATTCCTTGGCTTGTAGCCTCTCCCTCCATCTTCAAAGCCAGCAGTGTGGCATCTCTGAATTTCTCTTCCTATGAGCTTCCTGCCTCCCTATCCTCTCTTCTAAGGGCCTTTGTGACTGTACTGGGCCAGCCCAGATCATCAAGGATGATCTCTACATCTTCAGGTCCTTAAATGTGTGTATCTGCCATATTCCCACATTCTCCCTGCCCTCCACGAAAGGGAAACTAGTTTTGCAGTTTCTGTGATTCTGATCCTGGACTTTAATGGGATCATCAAAGTTCAATGAGAAGCCCTGGCAAGGCTGAGCAGGAGGGGAGAAGATGCATATTTTAGAGGCAGAGAGGGGAGCATCCCCTGGGCTAGGGAGTAGGTGGAGAGCCAAGGGTATGACTAAAACCAGGCTGTCTCCATCCGAATGCTGGCCCGGCCTGGCCTTCTCAGCAGAGTGGCCTTGAGCAACTCAACGTCTTCATGCCTATTTACCCCACAGAAAATGGGGATTGTAAGAGTGAGGAATGCCAGGGTGGTGGCTCACACCTGTAATCCCAGCACTCTGGGAGGCTGACATGGGAGGCTCACTTGAGGCCAGGAGTATGAGACCAGCCAGGGCAATATGGTGAAACCCTATCTATCTCTACAAAAAATACAAAAAATTAGCTAGGAGTGGCAGCACACGCCTATAGTCCCAGCTACTCGGGAGGCTGAGGTGGGAGGATCATCTGAGCCGGAGGGGTAGAGGCTGCAGTGATCTATGATTGCACAACTGCACTCCAGCCTGGGCAACAGATACTGTCTCAAAAAAAAAAAAAAAGAGAGAGAGAGAGAGAGAGAGAAAATGAGTGAATGTATGGGAAATAAATGTATCAATGCTTGGCACATAGGAGTTATTAGGGAACTGTTTGCTGCTGTTACCATCTTAACAGTAAACTGTGTGCACAGAGAGCCAAGCATGTAAGTCCCTTCCACATGGCAGCTATGGCACAGCAGCGAGTTGGCAAGGAAGCTTCCAACTGACAGTGTGCATGCCCACCGGCTTGGGGGGATGAGGGCTTGCATTAGACAAGAAAACACCTGCCATCTGTATGGTTGCACCTGCTGCAAGAGACAGAGGACACGCTTTACAGGCAAGGCAAGGGGGTCTCTCACCCTTCCAGCTCTGCAGCTTGGGTGCCAGGGCCCTGCTAGCTGTGACCCCTGGCCCTGTGCTGCCCTCACAGAGGAGGCTGGGCAGGGTGGGGACGGGGCGGGGCCGCCGAGTCATAGTGGGCGCCCCCTTTATATACAAGCTTCCGGGGAGCCTCGCAGACCAGACCAACAGTAACACCAAGGGCAGGTGGGCAGGCCTCAGCCCTCCTCCCCCACCCCAGGGCCCACTGCAGCCTCAGCCCAGGAGCCACCAGCTCTCCCAACACCATGGTCCGATACCGCATGAGGAGCCTGAGCGAACGCCCGCACGAGGTGCACGGGCAGCAGGTGCATGGGCAAGACCAAGGACACAACGGCCAAGAGGAGCAGGGGCTGAACCCGGAGCACGTCGAGGTCTACGAAAGGACCCACCGAGGCCACTCTCACCATAGGCGCAGGCGCTGCTCTCGAAGGAGGCTGCACCGGATCCACAGACGGCGGCATCGCTCCTGCAGAAGGCGCAGAAGACGCTCCTGCAGGCACCGGAGGAGGCATCGCAGAGGTCTGCCTGCACCCCCGCCTTGCCCTGCATGCCCCTGACCATCCCAGGCACAGGAGGGAGGTTGGGACCCACCCCACCTGGCAAAGGCTCCAGCCCCCAACCCCCATCCCCACCCAGAGTCCCTAGGTGCCTCCCTCAACCAGAACTTTTTCCCAAAAGGCTGCAGAACCAGGAGGAGAAGATGCAGAAGGCACTAAGCTTCTTGGGCCCCTCACCCCCGGCTGGAAATTAAGAAAAAGTCACCTGCCCAAGAAACACCAAGAGAGGCCATAGCAATTCCCCTCCATCAAATGCTCAAGCCCCCAGCTGGAAGAGAAAGTCACCTGCCCAGGAAACACCAAGTGAGGCCATAGCAACTCCCCTACATCAAATGCTCAAGCCCTGAGTTGCCGCTGAGAAGTCCACAAGATCTGAGTGAAATGAGCAAAAGTCACCTGCCCAATAAAGCTTGACAAGACATTGCTGGCCTGTTGGGTTTCCTTTGCGTGAATCACATTTCCTTTGCATGAATCACACAAACTTGGATTCCCTCATGCCCAGGGTGGGTAGAGGCTTCTCTGCAGTCCTTCCTCAGGGGCGGGTAGGGCAGGAGCTCTGCTGCTCTGAGGGTGCCTAGGAGAGGGTTACTGTGCCTGGGAGGCCACCCTGTGATGCTGTCCTGTCTATCGCACATCGTTCCATGGAGTCAAAGGCCACATTAGTCTGTCTGGATCCCCCTCCAGTGAAAAACCCGATCCTATCCCATGAAAGGAGAAAATGGTTAGAACAGATTGAGCCCTAATTAAGTCACAAAGATGTCAAGGCACCTTGTGGCCATATTTAAAAGGCTTTCTGTGTGCCACAGTTTAAAAACACAGATGTTGGGTGGTTGGAAGTATAAGGAAGTGTAAACGGTGGGGGCAGAGGAGCAGTACAGGCAATGGCTTCAAGGTGGGGAGCAGGTCTGGCGTGCTCCAGCAACAACTCGGTCAGCACAGAGGGGGCAAAAGGCAAGGAGCAGATGAATGCAGAGTAATGGGCTGGGCTGTGTGAAGCCTGTGCTGGCTGACGCCTCTGGAGACCCAGTGAGAATCCGATCCTTGCTGCTTCCTCTCCTCGGCCTGTGGCTACATCACTCCTGTCTGAAATCAAGGATCCTTGTGATTGCACTGAGGGACTTTCTGGACAACCCAGGATAACCTCCCCATCTCACAATCCTTACATCATAGATTCCAGGATCAGGATTGGCATTTAGCCAACCACAGCCACTGAGGACTGCGGGGATAAAACTGGCAAGATCCAATCCATATGTTGGAAAATGGATTCCTGGTGCTCAGAAATGACCAATTTTTAAGAAGCAATGAGTTTCTGAAAAAAATACAAAAAATATATATATATAAAATATAAAAAAATATATATTTATCTAAAATATATATATATATATATATATATATTTTTTTTTTTTTTTGAGATGGAGTTTTGCTCTTGTCACCCAGGCTGGAGTGCAGTGGTGCGATCTTGGCTTACTGCAACCTGCACCTCCTGGGTTCAAGTGATTCTCCTGCCTAACCTCCTGAGTAGCTGGAGGAGCTTTAAAAAAATATTTTGGGGGTATTTTTAGTAAAGACAGGGTTTCACAATATTGGCCGGGCTGCACTCGAACTTCTGACCTCAGATGACCCACCTGCCTCACCTCCCAAAGTGGTGGGATTACAGGTGTGAGCCACCATGCCTGGCCTGAAAAAATTTAAATTTAATACCACTGCATTGTACAAAAGACTCATTTCAATGTATAAAAGACAAAGTCCTAAAACCGCTCCCTGCATGCTGAAATGGTGCCACACAGATGGGGAACCTTGCCAAGACTTCAAAGAGACCTGTGGCCCTAAAACACTTAAGAGGTTGTCACTCCACCCTGACCTGGGCAGAGTGGCATCTGGTTGGTGGTGTCCATCTTGCATCAGTCAGGGACAAAGCAACCCCTTGTTCATCTCAGCGTGGTTTCTGGCCTGTGCCCATGCCTTGGACAAACAGAAAAAGCTTAGGAGCCGTTGCTTTTCAAGAAGATTTCACACTTTCAGGCCCCCGAAGGAAGAGTTCCAAGGGTTCCTGAGTTTGATGAAGGCAGAGCTTACAGAGTGCATACACTTTAAGCACACAGCTTGATGATTTATTTCCAAGGGTCAGCAGTCAAGAAACTCGACAGAGACAGCTCTCTCTGGCTGGCGATTTCTGGGATGTGGGGAGGAGTCTGTGTGTGCCCCTCCTGCTTCTAGAAATTCAATCTCTAACTCCCATCCCAGCTACAAGTGAAACTTTCTCCAGGGCAAATGAGGTCTATGGTGTCGGCATCCGCACTGGCCCCAGTGCTCAGCCTTGCAGACCTTCCCTGTGAGGGCTGGCAGCTGCCAGTGGCTGAGGCCTGAGTTGGCTGTTGGCTCAGACCCAGGTTCCTGAGGGGGGCGGGCTCCCTTTGTGATGTCAGCATCCTGCCCCCACTCACAGCCCCTTCACCAACCACCTCACCTCCTTGTCCAGAAAGACAGGCAAAGTGGACCATGGGTTCCCGCTGTGCCAAGCTCAACACAGGCCACAGCCCAGGCCACAGCACAGGCCACAGTATGGGCCACAGCATGGGCCATGGCCGGGGCCACGAATCCTCCATGAAGAAGCTCGTGGCCTGCGTCAGTCAAGATAACTTCTCCTTGTCATCAGAGGGTGAGGAAGAGGAGGAAGAGGAGGAGGAAGGGGAAGAGGAGGAGGAAGAAGAGCTGCCAGTGCAGGGCAAGCTGCTGCTGATGGAGCCTGAGCGGCAGGAGGAGGGCCAGGAGGACAACGCTGAGGCCCAGAAGAGCCCCGAGTCCAAGCAGACACACTCCTGACCCGCGACGAAGGCCCAGGAAGGGACACCCACTGCTGCTCCGGCGACAGCATTCAGAGAAGAGTCAATAAAAAGTCTCTGAGGAATCCTCCCTGTCTCTGGTTTCCCCTCACCCTATCCCTTCTGGTCCCACGTGTGCACGTGTGTGAATGCATGTGTGTGGGTGCACGTGGAGGGAGGCCAGCTGCCAAGGAAGGCTGAAGAGCGGGGCTCGGTGACCTTGTTCCCAAGCCCCAGCCAGAGGTTCAGGGGCTTTGGGAGGGGGAGATCATCTCAGCCGAATCTTCCTGTCTCTGGGACAGGGGAAATTCCTCTCCTAGTCCCAGCACACCCCAACCGGGGGCACCCAGCAGGACAGGGTAACTGCCTTCATCGCAGTCCCCACGGTGCCGCCCCAACCATGGGCAGTCTTTAAGAACACTGGCTTGGGAGTTCAGCAGACCTGGGTTCAAATTTCTTTTCTGCTAGCTGCGTGCCCTTGAGCAAGTCACTGGGTGTCTTTGAGCCTCAGCCCGCCCCTCCTGGCATTTGGGGGAAGCTAATAGCTACTCATGGGTCACCTGATCAGGCGAATTAGCTTAAGGGCTGGGTGGGACCAGGCCTGGCACCAGTCAGTGCTGAACGATGACAGGGATTGTTGCTGGGGTCATGGTGGTTCCCTCTGGGTCCTTTTTGGCTGCGGACTCTTCCACTGCAAGTCTGTGCTGCTGGCGACCATCTGCACCCCTATCTGGAAGCTCACTCCTGCCTTCTTCAAGGGGTCTAGCCCTGGGGGCAGAGACAGTGCCCCATGAGAGCAGTAGGCAAAAGAGGCCCAGGGAGGCGACTGGGTACAGATGCAGAGCCTAGGCCCCATCCTCTCGCTCCGGGCTCGGTGCACTTTCTGCAAGGAGCTTCAGAACTCGTCTGCCGCCCACCGACCGCCGGCTCCTCCCTCACTCCTTCCACCCCAAAGAAGCGACAAATGTGATCTCCGCCACATTCCCTCACAGTCCTCCAAGCACCAGCCACCTTGAGCTAATTCTCCTGATCAGCTGATCCCCTGTCCCTGAGGGGATCCTAGTTGGTACCGTGGCAGTGGGGCTGGGGGCTGGGGGATTTTCAGGGAAGCCTCGGTTTCTCTGGGGTCCATGTTTGAGAGTAGGAAGGGGCCTTGGGCTACCCTGAGGAGAGGCCACTGCTCTGCCCTGCAATGGCCTAGGGCAGAGGAGGCCCTGTTACCCCAATACTCCCAGCCCCACAAATGACTCGGTTGGTCAGCTTTGTCCTTTTGTCCAAGGCCCGAAGGTCCACCCGCCCATTCATTTGCCCAGGAAACATGAGCCGAGCCCCCGTTGTATGCCCCACAAGGTGCTAGTCACTAGGGGACCTGGTATTAATAAAACGCAGTCCCTGTCGTCCTGGGAGAGAGTTCACGGTCACAGGTGCGACGGCAGGTATGTGACGTGCCGCACACCTGCTGCTGGGAGAGGTCAGCCCTCCCTGGGAGGACTGGAAAGGTGTGTGGAGGAGAGGCTGGTTGATGGCAGGCCACGGTCTCCATTCTAGGCTATGTGCTTGAGGGTTGGGGAAGTGGGGCGTTGGCAGTGGAGGAGCAGCAGGCCATGGGAAGAGGGGTCCAGAGACCCAGAGAGTCTTCACAGCTTGGTCTAGCGCACACCCCACAACCGGACCTGCTGAGCCCACCCGAGGCAGGGCCCTGAGAACCCTGCCGCAGGTGTCCCTCTAATCACCGAGAATCCCTTACTGACCCTGAGAGGCAGCCAGACCCGAATATGACTGGCTCTGTCCCTGATCGGCCAAGGGACTCTGGGCTGGTTACTCCACCTCTCTGAGCCTGTTCCCTCTTTGCTAAACGCAATCATTGTACCTGCCTCAGGGGGTGCATTAGTTTCCTGGGGCTGCCATACCAAATGGCCACAAACTTGGTGGCTAAAACAACAGAAATGTATTCTCTGCAGTTCTGGAGGCCGGAAGTCCGAAGTCGAGGTGCCAGCTGGGCTGATCTCCCTCCCGAGGCCTTAGCAGAGAATCCTTCTTTGCCTCCTCTAGCTCACAGACCTCCAAGCTTGTCTCCATCTTTACATGGTTTCCTCTTCTGTCCCTGGGTGACACCTCTTCTGTCTCTCATAAGGACGTCTGTCATTGGATTTAGGGCCCACCCTAAATCCAATGCTAAGCCAACATGCTTATCTCAAGATTCTTAGCTTAATTACATCTGCAAAGACGCCTTTTCCAAATATCACACTGACAGGTTCTAGGAGTTAAAACGTGGACATAGATTTTTGGGGGCTGCCATTCAGTCCACTACAAAGGGTCACTGTGAGGTCTGAGGGCAAAGCTGTCTGGAGAGGGTGAGGCCCAGAGCACAGCCATGTAGAAAGCATTCAGTAAATGAAAGCAGTTCTCACTGTGAGAAATTTGACATGTTTATTCAGAAATAAACTGCAAAGGCTGGGCATACTGGCTCAGGCCTGTAGTCCCAGCACTTTGGGAGGCCAAAGCAGGAGGATATCTTGAGTTCATAAGTTCAAGACCCACCTAAGCAACAAAGTGAGACCCCCATCTCTACAAAAAAAAAAAAAAAAATAGACAGGTGTGGTGGCATGCACCTGTAGTCACAGCTACTCAGGAGGCTGAGGTGGGAGGATCGCTTGAGTCCAGGAGGTGGAGGCTGCAGTGAGCTGTAATAATGCCACTGCACTCTAGCCTGGGCAACAGAACAAGACCCTTTCTCAAAAAAGAAAAAGAAAAAAACTTCCATAAAAGCAGATGATTGCAAATCCTCAGAGCAAGAGGCAAAGTTGCACGTGGGCAGAGTGAGAGGTTGGCTTGGGCTGGGGGCCTGCTCAGGGAGGGGAGACAGAGAGAGAGGGAGTTCCATGCAGAGACAAGTGGGAAAGTACAGGCCAAGGGCTAAGCTCAAAGGCATCGGCCAAGACAGGGACGGGTGGAGGGCTCTGGATGGAAACCCAAAGACTAGAAGATCAAATGGCCTGGTGTCCAAACACAAGTCTGGGCTTTCTTCTAGAGGTGCTGGAGTGTTTGAGCAGGGACGGCATGATTCAAATGGTATGGCGAGGCTTCGTTAGCAGGGACGGGAAGAGAATCAAGAGGCAGAAACTGAAGGAGAGAGATGGGCTTCCAAGGACCTCCTGTAGCTTCACAAGCATCTTAGGCTCACAAGAATACCAGGAAACAAGCAAAGACACCCCTTTGTCACATAAGGCAACTAAGCCTCAGAAACCACAATGGCCTACCCAAGATTGAACATCAGTGCAAACTTGGATTTGAACCTGGCTCTGAATCTCCTGACTTTAGATCTGGCTAGGGAGGTAGGCTTGCCGGGCGAGCCCCAGGACCACCCCTTGGACCATGTGGTTACTCATCCATCCACCAAGCCATCTGGTCAATTCATCACCTCCCCATCATCTGGGCACTAATCATCTGTCTTAACAACTGTCCACCATTCAGCTGCCATCACCAGGGTCAGGGCTGCACTCCTGGCACCCAAGCTGCCCAGGAAGTTAAGAAAAAGACCTAACGATGCTGGTCAGTGATGTTTACTGAGCTCTTATTGTGGGCTGGGCCTGAGCTAACTGCTTGATATAAATTCTCTCCTTTATTAATAATTCTTCTAATGTCTGAATGAGGTCAGTACAATTATTGTCTCTATTCTGCAGAGATGGGGAAACTGGGACTTCTTCAGGTGAATCCCCAGGGCTGACCATGTAGAAAAAGCAGGTCTGGGATGCAGACTCAGCTTAATCTGACCCAAGCGCTCCTACCCTGAACCAGCAGCTGGGACTACCCCCAGGGTACCCCTGAGGGCTGCCCCAGCCTGGGGGTGAGGGTAAGGGGTAGGGGGCTTTGTCTTGGCTGGGCCACATCTGTCACACCGCTGTGGCCTGTGCCATCATAATCAGCCCCAACTATATAACCAGGGGCTGCCAGGGCCTCTGTAAAGCTAGGCCTGCTGGGAGAGGACGAGGAGGAGGCCCTGCCCCTCCAAACGTGGCCTCCTATGGACACCAAGACTCACAGCCTTCCTATCACCCACACCCAGCTCCACAGCAACTCTCGGCCCCAAAGCCGCAGTCAGTGCACCTGCACCCACCACTGCCAGACCTTCAGCCAGAGTTGCAGACAGAGCCAGCGTGGCAGCCGGAGCCGGAGTTCCAGCCAGAGCCCGGCTACCCACCAGAACCCAACCGGAGCCCACAGCTCATCCGGCTGCCAGAGCCAGAGTCCCAACGCCAGCCCACCACCAAAGCGCCACAAAAAGAGCATGAACTCCCACCACTCTCCCACGCGGCCCACCATCCTGCACAGCAGCTGCCCCAAGAACAGAAAGAACTTGGAAGGCAAGCTGAACAAGAAAAAAATGGCCAAGAGGATCCAGCAGGTGTACAAAACCAAGAAGCGGAGCTCAGGTATCCTTTAAGGAGGTGGGAAGGGCCACAGAGCCCACAGATGATGGGGAGCAGACCTTGGGGGCAGTGAGAGGAAGGCTGCAGCCAGGTCACAGAGGAACCACAGGCAAGGGTGAAGAGGGAGAAGAGAAACAATGACAGTTGGCTAGTATGATATGTTGATTGATGGACAGGTTCGTTGGATAAATTGGATGGGTTGATTAGGAGGATGGAAAGATTAGCTAGATGGAAGCATGAATTGGGTTGAGAGGTTGGGTGGATGACTGGGTGGGTAAATAATAAATAGGTAATAGGATAGTTGGAAGAATGCATTGGTTGAATGATAGGAAGTTTGGATGTGATTAGCTGGATGGATGAATAAATGGATAAATGCACTAGTTCACTCATTATTGGTTAGGTAGATGATTAGTTGGAAGAATATGGTTGGTGGACATGAATTGCTTGGATATAGAGTTAAATAGATGTGAAAGTTTTGATGGGTTGATCTGATTGGTTAAATAATGGTTGGCTAGGTAGGCTAGTTTAGATGAAGGGATGATGTTGATAAATTTATCTTAATAGAGTAATATAGAGTAATTGAATGAACTGATAGATGGAAGAATAGATATCTAGACTAATGGGATGGAATGGGAAAGAAATGTTGAATAAATGAATGGAATGGGTGAACTAATGAATGGATGGATGAGAAATGGAAGGGATAAATGGATGGATAGATGGATTCACATAGGTCAAAAGGACACTGAAGGTAGTCTAACTCTATCTACGCCCCATATTCAATCACAAATGAGTAGCTGTAAGACCCACAGGAGGTCAGTGACTTCATGAAGTCCTCAGCTATTAAAAGTTCCTTTCTCACTCTTATCCCTTAGGACGGAAATCCAACTAATGAGACTGCACTCCTTGGCTTGTTCCTGCGTGTTTCACCCAAATGAGAAACGCTATCATGCATAGAATGCTAGGACGAAGTCAATCTTCTTGCAGGAACATGTTACTATGGTGATTTCTACGCAACACTAATTAAAGCTTGTACCCTGGAAGACTATCCCTGAGTAGTCATTTTAGAGTCATTTTGATTTCACTAATAAAGGCGTTATGTGTTTTGGGGGCCTGCACAGGGGCAGAAATGAATGGGGGCGGGACGCCAAGAAGCCTGCAGAGTCCACTTTGCTTGGATAACAATATTTTGCCCTGTACACTTCCACATGGGTGTGTACATATGTGGACACATAAGATGCGCACAGGTCCATACTCTATTCATGTGATCCACATGTATGTAGCCCAAGGAGACAGGAAGAGGGGTTCAGAATGTGCCTTTTGCAATGCAGAGCATCCTGAGTTTGAATCCTGGCTCATCTTTCGTACGTGCTGTGTGACCTTGAACTGTGACCAACCTCTGAGCCTCACTTGCTGATTCTGCAATATAGTACCAACCTCAAGGTTCCTCAAAGCGGCCATTTCAATCAACTTTTACTAAGGGACTAAAGACTGTTCAGGGGCTGTGCTGGGCTCTGGGAACAGAACTAGAGAACACACAAGGCCCTGCCCTCATGGAACTTACAGTCCAAACACAAGACTTGTCAGAATGAGCTGTATCAAGGGAGCAGGGTGATGTCATGTCCCCATGAGGGAATGAGCCTGGGTTAGAACTTGTGTTCCAGAGGAGCTGGCATAGAATCTGAAGGTGCTGGGACATGAGCTGGGACCATCTCACTCTGTCACCCAGGTTGGGGGTTAGTGATACAATCATGGCTCACTGTAGCCTCGATCTCCCAGGCTCAAGCCATTCTCCTGCTTCAGGTTCCTGAGTAGCATGACATGTACCACCATGTTTAGCTATTTTTGACTTCTCGCTCTGTCGCCCAGGCTGGAGGGCAGTGGTGCCATCTCAGCTCATTGTAACCTCCGCCTCCTGGGTTCAAGCGATTCTCCTGCCTCAGCCTCCCGAGTAGCTGGGATTACAGGCGCCCATCACACCTGGCTAATTTTTATGTTTTTTTTTTCCCCACTGTGCAGGCGTTCTGTCACTGCTTTTAATTTTTATTTCATTTTACTTTAAGTTCTGGGATACATGTGCTGAACGTGCAGATGTGTTACATAGGTATACATGTGCCTTGGTGGTTTGCTGCACCTGTCAACCCGTCATCTAGGTTTTAAGCCCTGCGTGCATTAGGCATTTGTCCTAATGCTCTCCCTTCCCATTCCCCCCACACCCCAATTTTTGTATTTTTTTAGTGGAGATGAGGTTTCACCATGTTGGTCAGGCTGGTCTCAAACTCCTGACCTCAAGTGATTCACCCACCTTGGCCTCCCAAAGTGCTGGGATTACAGGTGTGAGCCACCATGCCCGGCCGCCTGGTGTGTTTTTAAAGTGGTGCGGCTGCTATGTGGAGGCTGGATTGCAGGGGATGGGACAGGGTACAGCAATTGGCAGAATGGCAGCCTGGTCTAGCAGAGAGATTTTCCACAACAGGTGGGCCGGAGGTTCCTCCCAAGATAATGCCCAGAGTCCTGCCTTCCTCATTCCTCTTGTGCAAACATTTACTGAACACCCACTTGTGTGGGCTTTGGGCTAAGGCCAAGGAGGGAAGATAAGGGTGAACCAGACAGAACCCTGCTTCCAAGTAGATGTGGAGACAGCTATGGACATCAATCTTAGGAAAACCTGCTCTCATCTGCAAAATGGGCACCCTTGCTGGGGGACTGGGAGAGGTCAGTGTGTCATGCGTGTGACATGGTGTCTTGGCTCAGGGCTTGGCACTCAGTAAACCTCTGCTATTAATATGGCATTAAAAGTACCAGGCATCCCAGCACTTTGGGAGGCCGAGACGGGCGGATCACGAGGTCAGGAGATCAAGACCATCCTGGCTAACATGGTGAAACCCCGTCTCTACTAAAAAATACAAAAAACTAGCTGGGCGAGGTGGCAGGCGCCTATAGTCCCAGCTACTCAGGAGGCTGAGGCAGGAGAATGGCATAAATCCAGGAGGCGGAGCTTGCAGTGAGCTGAGATTCGGCCACTGCACTCCAGCCTGGGCGACAGAGCGAGACTCCGTCTCAAAAAAAAAAAAAAAAAAAAAAAAGTCCCAGGCAGATTTTCGTGAAGGAACACCAGCTGCCAGACTAAAGGACTGGGGAATGGTCAGGGTCTTGTGTAAATTGGCTTCTGACCTTCATACCCACCAGCCTTGGTTTTAGGGTCAGACTCAAGTTTGCTCTGGTTCTCACTATCCTAGCTGAGGGGGCTGGGACTAGACCACTCTGAGCCTCACTCACCTCCTCCGTCTAATGGGCTCACCATTCTGACATGCTGGGGGGCGGGGTACCCAGCAGCCTGGTGTGTGACAAGGTGCCCAGCACAGCACCAGACACATGGTCACTTTGCTTTCTTTTGTGCTGCATTTGGCATTTGGGCTGAAGGAACGGGGTGAGCAGGTGAAGGCGGGGTGGGGCAGGAGTAGAAATGAGTGGTGATGGGGTGTCTGCAGGGGAGGGAAATGGACCCAGGTGTCTTGCAGAAGGCCTTGCAGGATTCCAAGCTTTGCTGAGCCTGTCCCAGGCAGCGGCATGACATGGAAATTCCTCTTTCAGACCTCAGCTGTGTGGACTTGAGCAAGTCATGTCCCCCATCTGCATCCTGGTCTTTTCTGTAAAATGGGAGGCTAACGGTGCCTCCCTGTAGGGGTCCTGGTGGGGATTCATTGAGATAATGCACCTGCAAGCATCCAACAGAGGGCCTGGTCCATCTGACCAATGTCACTCAATGTCATTGTCAGTCTCCTTTCCTTGGGTCCCTTTATCCTCCCCTCACAGCAGGGAAAGGTTCCAGGCTGTTTCTATTAGGAGAGGGTGCGGGGAAGCACTTCTATAGGCTCAGGAATTACATTTATTGAGCACCTACTTGATGCCCGATGTCTTGACATAAATGTTTCCACGGAATCCACACTCCTCAACAAGAGACATTATTGGTCCCACTGTACAGATGAAGAAGCTGAGACTCAGAGGTGAAATAACTTGGTCAAGGACTCCTGGCAAGCAGGTCTAAGATAAGGCATTCACGTTTTGTCCCAAACTTCCTGGTTCCCAGCTGAAAATGTAAGGCCACATTAAGCCATGATAGTCACTGACACATCAGTGCAAGAGTTTGGGAGGCCCTTCTGGGGAACACATCTTGAAGGAGGAACTGGAGACAGGGTTAGACATAAAGTCAGGGACTTTGAGCCCCACTCACCAAGGGACCTCCCTGCTTCCTGGGCAGTGTCCTTTTATGATATGATTACTGAAGGCAGATCTTTTATTATAAGCTGATGGACTGGCTCACGCGTGTGGCTTATGGACCTATCTTTAACTCCACATTTCCCTGAAACCAACACCAACACGAGCAACACAAAAGTGGCGCAAACACGGATAGTCACATACACAGTCACAACTCACCGGAATCTCGAACTCCCGGCCACGTATGCAAAGAAGCAGCCGTTCAAACCCACTCAGACACAGAGACCCACATTCACATGTGGACCCCAAATACACACACACCCCCCGCTACACATGCATGCAGGCTCTCAGTCACCTCCCCCGACCCTTCCCACAGGAAACACATACGTAAGCAAGCACTCACAATACACACCACCCTTGTACAGTCAGATGCACGGTGATGACAGGAAAAAAAAATCCAACCACAGATTCACGCTTTCACTTACTTGGCTTGGGGTGGCTGGCAGTAGGTTGGGGGCAGGCCTGCTGGAGACCCAAATTCAGGAAATGGAGACAGGCAGACAATAAATCCAGCCAGCAAGATAGTATGCGGGTTCTGAAGATGATCTATCTTGATACTCAGGGATTTAATTTCAGTGGGCTACTGGGGAATGAGGTGAGGTCTGGGGAACAGTGAGGTGCAGCCTGTCCTGTGGTGGGGTTACCTGCAGGGCTGTCACTCCTGAGGGTCTGAGGTATCACCAAGGGGAAACGCAGGGGTCCCGGGTTGAGGAAGGAGTGGGGAACGGAGCACTCAGACGAGAGGGCAGACCCTGGCAGAGATGCCCATGTGAGCTATGATTCAAGAGGAAAAATATCTCAAACCCTGTAGTCACACAGACCCAGCTTCAAATCCCAGCTCCCCCATTCCCTGGCTGGGTGACCCCAGGACTATTCCTCAAACTCTCTGAGTCTCAGGTGCATCTCACACTTTGTAAAGAGAACCGAGGAGGCCCTGCTGTTCACTGCTGCATCTCTAGGACTTAGCACAGTGCCTAGCACATACTAGGTGTGCAGTAAATATTTGTTTAGTAGATGAAAGAAGGAGCAGGCATTAAAGCAACAACAAGAAGCCATCACTTACCAATTCATCAAATAGGCAAAAATGGAAAAAGTATGATAATGGCGAAGGCATGGGGAAACACTGTTGAACGCTTTTGCCCAGAAGGTAAATGTGCACAGCACGCTGGCAGGCGACTGGGTGGCGCCTATGAACATTCAAACGGTAAGAACGGTTTATCACATGTGTGCCAAGAGGCTGTACAGGGAGCTGCAGGCCACGTTGTTTGCAAGAGCAAAAAAACAACCTATGTGTCCGCCCACTAGGGATGGCTAAATGAACATACGCTGAGGAGTACCATGCAGCTCTTAAGGAACTTGGGGTCGATCTATACGTGATCTAGCCAGATCTAGCCAGATTGTTGGGGGGAAAAGGCAAGATGGAGAAAGACATGACATTGATAGAGGGAAAAGTCCTACACAAAGGAATACTTTTTTTTTTTTTTTTAAATAATTGGGATCTTGCTCTGTCACCCAGGCTGGAGTGCAGTGGCACAATCACAACTCACAGCAGTCTCGAACTGACCACAAGTGATCCTCCCAGCTCGACCTCCCAAAGTGCTAGGATTACAGGCATGAGCCACCATACCGGCCCAAGGGACATCATTTTTATGGGTCAAAATACAAGCATGTAGATGCACAGAAAAAGATCTCAGGGTGGGAGCAGTGGCTTATGCCTATAATCTCAGCGCTTTGGGAGGCCCAGGCGGGAGGATCACTTGAGGCCACGAG